TGCCGCTCCTCAGCACTGATCAGTCACACTTTGTTGTCTTAGGCCTGTTCACACCGGCAGCTCCTTAATCCAGAGGGAAAAAGCTTGTTTTATTATTAATGACATTTTGCTCTTGTTATTGATAGGTCTACGATAAGTATAAATCATTTTTCCCTTATCTCACATGAACGTTTCAGGAGGGAGCTGAGTTTTGATTACCGCTATTGCGATACACCATAGAAGTCTTCCAGATGTTGGAAAAGATACTGACAAAAATACTGAAATATCAAAGCTGGGGTACATGACTTTCAAACCACAAACAAACTAACAAATTAAATGTATTACCATGTATGTATCAAATCCATGCCTCCGTCACATCGTTTGGTCTGCTTGTTCAGATAGAAAAGTTTAAAAGAATGAAAGCAAACTCCCTAACTCAGCCCAAAGAGTCAATTAGTGACTCACGGGGCTCTTTCTTACATGTATGCAAAATATAACATGTTTTCTGATTAGATAAAGAGATAAAGTTTTAAAAGCAGATTCAACTATTAGTAGCTTATTGATGACATGCCTGCAGAATATGTTTAGATCAGGCATGTCCAAACAGTAGCCACTGAGGCACTTCCCGGTGTCATCCAGCCACCTTCAGCTCCAATTAAACAGTAATTCAATACCTCATTGTAAAGCTCAGAAGATTTAGAATCCTTTTATCACACATTATAAACTGAAATTTGTTTTCATTAGGTTACAAAATTCTATATGTGATGCTAATGTAGCTGTGGTGCCAATCAATCGGACTCCCTAAAATCTAGGCATTTCGCCCCACTGCACACAACCCTTGCCTTTTACCAAATTCTAACCTAACCAAAAAAACAGTTCCTTACCCTAACCCTAAACTGGATTTTGACTCTTTAATTCAAAATGTAATGAATAATTAGCAACCAAAGCTGAATTTACCTCACCTCAGGACAAAATACCAAGATTTGAGTGAGTCCTGTGACAATACCATACCAAATGTTATAGCCTCAAGCCAAATCCAGTAAAAACAGTTTTACATATGTATATTTTATGTTGTCGGGCTCTGGACAAGTCTGGTGAACTCTTATAAAAAAGTTTGGATGATGAAATAATATGTCAAAATACTCAACATATATTTTCATAGCCTTTAGTGCTTCTGCATAAACAAAAGCAGATATCACCTTTGACTCTTCTCGTTTCTCTTAACATGTCTGGCATCACGTCTTGCCCGACTTTTCACCAGCAGAGCTAATTTAAGACTATGACTCAAAGTTTGTCACACCTCTCTGGAGCTTGCGAGCCCAAAGGAGCACACACATATGCGCGTTACTGCCTCATTTACCAGCTCCGCATTACGTCTTGTAAAAGTCGAATATCAAATATCTGAAAAGTTCCCCCAAACTTTTGAAGTGGTGCCTCTGGATACACAAGCGAACACAAAAAAGGGGACAAAACCTAGTCGGTGAATGGAGAGGTGTGTGTTACAGCTGCTTGAAGTTGCCAAGGGAGGGTGACTAATGGGATGAATAAGACCCTTGTGATTCTGATTTGAACAGAAAGAGAGATGGGTAGAAGAGTAGGTGTGTGGATGTCTTCAGAATCTTTGGGCAGTGGAATGAACATGTATAAAACTCGGGATAGTTGTTCTCATGGTATAGTTGTACAATATCTATAGGTTGAATACTTTTAACCCTAGAACTCCCAGTGCAGTATGTTAGATAGCTTGGCGTTTTGGAAGCAAAATTACTCAGCTTATGCCCATTTTTGGCCCACCTTCTAGGGCAGTTAAAGCCCCTTTTCTCCAAGGTTCAGGACTGGTTCTGAATTATCCTTGGACTGGTCCTGGAATAGTTCTTGGACCAATCCTGGACTAGTTTTGGTTCAGATCTTATTCAGCGTGTTTTTCCACCCGAAAAGACCAATAGCTTGTTATCATAGCAACGTACTGTTTACTTGACAGCAGCTAGCATGTGGTCTCCTTTCAACAAACTGTTTTTTGCTTTTCCAGTTAAATTGTACAGTTTTTTCACTTATTTACAGGTAAAAACTGTGAAAATGATTTAATCTTAATTGAATTTCCTTGGTTTGAATGTAGTCTCAGAATTCTGGGGGTTCTCTGTTAATAATAACGAACGGGGTACATTTCAGAGCCAACCAATACAATACTTTCAATTTTTTAAAGATTTTATACAATATATTTCTAAACCATATGACAAGGTTCAGTAAAAACATTTAGAAATTTTTTTTAAAATATTTTTTACACACCCCTATACCTTTACACACTTGTTACGGTCACTGAAATGGCTGCACTGAACGTCACCATTCTTTCACTTCTAACATTGCGGTGCTTAACTATACTTTAACCACTGCTGCCCTGGGACAGACTGACAGAAGCAAGACAGCCAGTCTGTGCCATCCAGCCCTTCGACCACCGGCATCACTCGCTCACCTGCCAGATTCATACAGCTGCATGTTTTGGGTGATGGGGGCAACCGGAGCGTCCAGAGATAACCCTCCCAGACACAGGGAGAAACACACAAGCTCTACACAGCACTGTAAATCATAACTTCAATCTTTCAATCTTACTTCAGAAAGTTATTTTAAATGGATTGGTCCAAGTGAGTAAATATTTCTTGTTTATTGTTAGTTTATTTAAAGCTTGCCTCTATCACTCAGGACCGTCCTTGAATTGAGCTGACTCTGTTCAAGTAAGCCACACTTTTGATATTTTGAACATGTACACTGTTCAAAATGTTATATAACTTGAAAGCAGGGCGGCACAGTGGCTGAGTGGGTAGCACCTTCACTTCACGGTAAGACATTTCTGAAGTCGAATCCCAGTCGGAGCAGGATTTTTCGGATGCATAAGTTAAAATCACAGTTAAATTTTATTGCAATCAACTGTGTGAACTTGGCAACATCAAGTTAATAACTTACTCAAGGAAATCAAGTGAAGTTATGTGCATCTTAATGGGATTTTTTCAAGTATACTTTACATGCCATGGATTACAGTGAGAAAGACACAGGAAACACCACTAACAATGTTTTATGAGCCAAAAACCACCTGTTTAATTACACTCAAAATGGTTAAATCAGATGAATGTGATGAATACTGCTTTTGCACATTAGCATTGATCCAGTCGGTACGGATCGGAAACCATTATAAGTAAAACATTGTGGTTTGAAAATGAAAATAAATTGGATGCATACAACCTGAGTCCAGATCTGTCACTGAATATGCAACATACAGCCTTCAAATAACTTTCTTTTCAATTTCTCGCTAAATGCCACAATATTTTTTGAGGAAAATATTTGTATAATTATCAAGACCATTATCGACTTCAGGCCATTTCATTCCGCTCTTATTTAAATCACTGGCTTTTCAGATTGTTCTTACACAACCATCTCATAAATGGAGATGTGTCATGCATTTACCGTGGAAATGGAGCAGAGGACAGAGCCAAGGCCTGTGCCGAAGCCCACACAGTTTCTAAGCATCCCTCCATTAACTTTATTTAGACTGGAGCAATAACAAAAACACTCTGACTCACTCATCGCAGCACAGGTGCGTAACGTTGTTGGTTTTCGGTTCGTTTTTAGAGAGAAATCAATGCTTCCCAAAATGCCCCCCCAAGAGCAGTGCAGATCCCACACAGGACCTCACTCAAAAGCAGAGGAAGTGTGAGAGCCATAATGTGTGGGGTTGCTATGGTAACGTCATGGGGAGGTGCGTGAGTCACGTGAGCTCTGGGGATATGCCATGGATGTATTATATTAACTGGATAGGGTATTACTAGCTTGTAGCTGAATAACTCACGTGCTCAGGGGATTCTCGCGGTACTGCAGACTGAACCAGACTAAATTCACGTGGGCCACCCAGAAATTTTCCCCATAGAACTCAATGCATATTAAAACAGCTCAACCTCAGCTGACAGAGAACCTACAGCTTTCATAAAGATCGGATTTTGTGGGGATTTTAGTGTCCCTTGTCATCCTGAACTTTTTTTCTTCTTAAATCCTTTGGTTTTGTTTAAATCCACACTTTAGTGCCACAAACTCTGCTCCTCTGGCTCTCGCTCTAACTCCCGCTTTGAGGAACTGCTCTGATTGGTCAGAGCGCGGCCGAGCCCCTCTGTGCACGTGCGTGAGACCCGGTGTGAGACCCACACACGCGTGTTTGGCGCAACGCATTATGGGAGATCATCCACTGCGCAGAACCGGGAGGACCAGACTATGCCCAAATACAGGCGAGTTTCCCATAGATCTTTGCGAGTTTCAGGCAACTTCCGCTAATCTTTCAGCCCCCATGCCGCATGGATGTATTATATTAACTGGATAGGGTATTACTAGCTTGTAGCTGAATAACTCACGTGCTCAGGGGATTCTCGCGGTACTGCAGACTGAACCAGACTAAATTCACGTGGGCCACCCAGAAATTTTCCCCATAGAACTCAATGCATATTAAAACAGCTCAACCTCAGCTGACAGAGAACCTACAGCTTTCATAAAGATCGGATTTTGTGGGGATTTTAGTGTCCCTTGTCATCCTGAACTTTTTTTCTTCTTAAATCCTTTGGTTTTGTTTAAATCCACACTTTAGTGCCACAAACTCTGCTCTTCTGGCTCTCGCTCTAACTCCCGCTTTGAGGAACTGCTCTGATTGGTCAGAGCGCGGCCGAGCCCCTCTGTGCACGTGCGTGAGACCCGGTGTGAGACCCACACACGCGTGTTTGGCGCAACGCATTATGGGAGATCATCCACTGCGCAGAACCGGGAGGACCAGACTATGCCCAAATACAGGCGAGTTTCCCATAGATCTTTGCGAGTTTCAGGCAACTTCCGCTAATCTTTCAGCCCCCATGCCGTCACAAAGCGCCACTGAGCACAACCATTCATTTGAATAGGGCGCCATCTTGGATCGCCGGGGCTTGCCATGCCGTCACAAAGCGCCACTGAGCACAACCATTCATTTGAATAGGGCGCCATCTTGGATCGCCGGGGCT